CAGAAGGAATTGTAAGGTTGTAGACGAAGATTTTGAGAAGACATGATGATGAAAACTTCCGGTGCTCTATTGTGCTGCCATCCAAACATGAATTAGTAGAAAGAATGATACAAGACTACCATTTGCAACTTCTGCATGCTGGTATTCAAGTTCTTTTGACCAATATTCGTCAAAAATTTTGGATAATAAAAGGAAGAAAAACAATACAAAGAGTTATATCGAAATGCGTTCGAGCAAGAGACACTCTGCGAAAGCTCCTGATACAGTGCCTTGTTCTCTCCCAGAAGATCGATTCAAAATGCTTATGCATTTGAGATGAAGGTGACAGGTGTTGATGTAGCAGGACCACTTTATTTGAAAAAATAGAAAAGCTTGGATCTTGCTTTTTACCTGAGGAGTTTATCGTATGGTTCATTTAGAATTAATTGAAAGCTTCTCGACTAATGGATTCTTCCTCGGATTTCGAATATTCATAGCACGAAGAGTAGTATACAGCGATAATGGCACAAAATTTGTAGGGGCAGGGAATTTACTCCGATCTGTTGACTGGAAAGAAATTATCAGAAGTTCTTCGACAATGAAAATTCAATAGAAGTTAAATCCACCAATCGCAGCATGGTGGGGCGGTTGGTGGGAGAGACTGGCTCAGATGATCAAGAAATTATTGAGAAGAGTCCTGGGAAAAGCATTATTTTCATATGAAGAAATGTTAATGTATCCTATGTGATGCGGAAGCAAATATCAACTCTAGACCATTAATATATGAGTCAGAAGATTCCACCGATCTATGTGCACTCACTCCATTTATGTTAATTCAGGATGTTCGAACTGAAGGTGTTCCGGATCTGGATAGTTTGGATAAAATCAACTTATTGAAAAGATGGAGATACCACCAAAAGATACACCAAAAGTGCGTGTAGAATTTCTAAAAGATTTAGAGATGAATATCTTGGACTGTTAGTACATCGACAGAAGACCGTACCTTCTCGAACCATTAAGAAGGATGATTTAGTGTTTTTAGAGGACGACAGAAGGAAAAGAACAGACTGGCTTATAGGACGCGTTGTAGAAATGTATCCTGGAAAAGACAACGAAGTACGTGTTGTCAAAGTGAAAACTGCAATGGGTGAACTCCTAAGACCTGTGAAACGAACGTATTTATCCTCTCTAACTTGATAGGCCTAACTTGTTTAGTGACTTGACCATAAACAGAAAGAACTCTGCCAGTGAATGTGACAGCGATTTGAACTATCAAACTAGATATGGCGTAAAACTGTATAACCTGTAACGTATTTTTAAATTGTTATACTAATTTTTGTTTCTTTTCAGTATCTTAGAAGTTTAATAGCCCTAACTAGTAAATTGGAATATGTTATCTGGATATGGTAAGAAAATGTTTAGACGTGTAATAGTCCTTTGCAAGTATTAATTTTTAGAACATTAGTTAATTTTTATATTTGTCAACTTTTTGATTATTGATAAATTGTGTTTTGATTTTCCCATGCAAAATCAAAAGTTGGAAAGAATGTTCCATTCTTGCCACTAGATGGTGGGCATTCTTCCTTTCTTTTTCGCTAATTGAGATCTCGGAACAAGGTTAGATTCGAACCGCTCAGAGGAGCGTAAAGACATAAATTTTGATTTCGAAACCAACTAAAATGTAATGTCATTGAAGTATTATCACTTACCATGTAAATACTGTAAAATATAAAGATGTGTGTAAATAAAAAGTCATTAAAATTTAATTGAAGTAGTGATTTGAATCGAATGTAGAAATCGAAAGCTCTCCCATACAGAAGGTACGGATTAGAAATAACACTGTGAGATACAGGAGAGATGTTCTGAGATACAGAAGTTAATTATACATCACTTACTCATCTGGCGGCTATGTTAATTTTATTCCTGAAAGCTGGCTTGAAGGCATTCCCCGGCAGTGGCTACACCAGCCATTTAGCAATCTTTTCACCAAGGAAAGGTATTACTGAGTATCACACCCGCGAGAAGTGAGAAAAGCACGCCCCTACAAAAACAAGCTTTACACAAGTGTCGCAGCCGCATCCTTGGTTTTGTGTTAGCAGTCAGCGTTCGATAACCATTGCATGTTCAGGACAACCATATTAATTGTGATTAAAAACATTTTAATGATAATACATGAAATAAGAAAAAAAGAAGCGTAGTACAATAAAGCTTGCAGCAGTGGCGGCTAGTAATGGGCACTGTGGAACTGCAGCACCCCCCCCATTTCCACTTATTATAATTTTTAATATTTAATATAGTGTGCGCTTTAGTCTTTAATTCTTTCTTTATACTTTTACGATACGTAATCCTTAAGCTTAATGTAAGTAGCATTCTCCCAGTTGTGAAAAAGGTACGAAAGTCTTTGTTTGGAACTGCGCGCTTCCCAGTTCCAGCGACATGGTATTTGGCTGTTCTGCGCGCTTCCCAGTTCCAGCGACATGGTATTTGGCTGTTCTGCGCATGCGCACACAGAAAGCAGCACGCCGAGCCAGATAGAGAGAAGGCACTGTCGCTCTTGCAGTGCCTAAATTCTTGCCTGTTGTTGGGAGCGTGATTTCTTTTTACTCCGCGCGTGTCGTATTCCTTCACAAAGTGGAACTTCATCATACGGACCATAGAACAGAGTTCATGAAAAATTTGCAACCTTTAAAAATTGCCTTACTGAAATTCAATCAACATCAAAATGCAGATCAAACTATTGCAAAAGCGACAGGAATTTTAAAATATCTAAATGATGATAATTTCAAGTATTTGCTTAGAGCTCTTTTCTCAGACACCTCATGTTGAAATAGATATATGCCACAATGTTGAATAAGATGCAACTAAATGCACTGCAGTTTAAAGTTAGTTGAATTGTAACAGTTCAATTTCAAAACTGCTTATTTTAGAATTAAGAAAACTCAAAGTGCTGTGAGAATTTTTCAAAAGACACTGATGGCAGAAGGTAAGGAAAATATGTGACTTTATACTATGTATTGATATAATGCACAGATATTCTTCCACTAAACACTTAGCAGCTGCTAAATTGTTTAATAAGAAATGCTTCGCTAGTTTTAAGAATGAATATTCTACAGAAGAAATAGTACTGACCACTGAAGCATATCCAATGATTGACAAAGAAAAGCTTGAAACTGAACTAAAAGTATTCTATTGCAGGTCTGATATCCATGGATATTGCAAATTAATTGAGCTACTGAAATTTATCTTCGAAAATAATCTAGATGATGTTCTTAGTGAAATTATGAAACTGATAAAAATTCTCTTGAGAGTTTCCATGACTACATCAGAGCCAGAACGCTGCTTTTCAACATTGAAAAGAATGAAAACTTTTCTAAGAAGCACTAGGAATTCGGAAAGACTAAATGCGCTTGTATTGCTTTAAATAAAGAAAAATTTCCTCAGTTGTCATCCAGAGATCAAGGAGAAAATTATTGATCTTTTCGCGCAAATTAAAGCAAGAAGAATGGATTTCATTTTTAAATAAATAAATATAGATTGAACTGTAACAGTTTAGGTTAAAGTAATTAAGAAATGTTTAATTTTTTCTCGTAAGCTTTCAGGATGTTTCAAAATATTCTTTTTATACATGTTTGTTTCCTTTTACACAATTTTAAAACAAAGGTTAAACGTTTTTAGAACAGCACCCCCACTAATTTTAGCTACGAGCCGCCACTGGAAGCAAAATATGCATAGTGAGACATTTAATACGAGATTTCGTTCTGCAGCGTATGCACAATGAAATTTCCTAAGCCAATGAGGAATAAAATAATTAATAATAGTAATAACATATTTGGATACGAAAGAGAAAATTTAGATGTGTTGTTGTTATTTAGCGCTTTGGTCTGAGATCATATGCGTGAACATGCGTGCATTATGTCTAAGAGGAAGGGTGTTTATTTGTTATTAGCCAAGACTTTGAGCATCATATAATGGCAGTACGCCAGTAAATTTAGGTTTATATGTATATATCAAGACTGAGTTAGGTAGTTAAAAAGCAAATGATCCACAATTCGGAACTTGAGCTGGCGAACTGATGGTCACGATACCGTGTGCCGCCTACCATTTTGGATGGATATTGTGCCAGCTTATCGATGCTCGTGTCATCAAACAGAATATGCGTTTCAATTTACGTCTTTTTTAATTGCAATATTAAATAATATTATTTATTCATTTAAAACGTACATGAAACCGGCTATTCAGGTATTCCTTTCTACTAATCAAATCTTCACACAATGTGAAAAATAATCTGAATGACATAAACCTGAAGTAAATTGAATAAGAGACATTTATCGGTTGGCTATCATAATGTTTAATAAAATGAGTCTTTTAATGAAAAGAAAAAATATGGTTTTAATGGAACCCATCTTTCGAATTTCAAGCTAATTTATCGAACTTTTCACACAGAACTTTCTACACAGACATATATTTGTTGGTTTTTCAAGATAACGTTTTTCAAAACAGCTTAGAAAAGATCCAAAATCATGGGATATAGATCAGCATTATAATAAAAAAGTAACAAAGGGAAAGTTAAAAGCAACAAATGTTTTATAAAATTAATATGGTTGATCATTTTAAATTATATATTAATATGTCAGCTGAAAAAATATTAGTTCATCTAATGTCCTTAAATCTTATTCAAAAATATCTGTATTTTTCAGAAAAAATCAACAAAATTCCCATTTGTCACATGAATCACGGGAAGTGTCTCTAAACTATTATCTAAAATTGGTATAGAAAAATCACAAGGAATATAACTAAATAAAGCAGGAGAGGAGGGGGAAAGGTAAGCTAACTGTTGCCATAAATTTGAATGGTTGCGTTATTTCTACTGCATCTAAGAAAATCGGATAAGAAGATTGCGATAACTGCTGCGCATTATTTATTCTACGGAGATAAAAACCTGACCTTGATGGCAGATTTTAATCAACATCCAAGATATATCGTTGCTCGTGGCAACTAGGAATTTTCGCTAGTTTTGTTGCTGTTCTCGTAAATTAAGGATTTAAAACTCATTTCGGAAACACTATTCCAAGCTAAAGTCCGCAGTTTCTCACAGGATTACTTCTGGCAATAAATTGCTAAGCTAAGGAATTAGGGCAACAAGTTCGGGTGACCAGGTCACTAAACACCACCCAGTTCACTCTGCTGACAAGGGGGAGGAGAGTTATTAGGCTGTATAAAAGAGACATTAACTGTTTACGGGTGGCTGGCATTAAATTTTCAAAGTGTGGATAGTAAAACAGTGTAAAGATGACGGATGTATTGACGATTAAAAATTTTATTAACGGTCGTTTCATAGACTCCGAAAAATTCATAGACAGTTACAATCCTGCCACGGGAAAGGTATTCGCGCGTGTTCCAGACAGTGACGAATCTGATGTGGCAAAAGCAGTTAGTGCCGCGAAAGCTGCTTTCAAAGAGTAAGTATAAAAGTCCTGATACTGCGTAAAATTTGACAATGGATTAAATCCCTTTTCAAAGTGCCATAAAAAGAGAACACGAATGCATTTCTGTCTGTTCGAAAATATTCCTAAACAGTTTATGATGTATCAATTGTTCTTTATGCATAACAAATTGGAATTAGGTAATTATCAATATTAACGTTCATTTCTAAGTTTTATTTTAAATTCCTGTTGTTTCATTCTAAATTCTGCATAAAAAAGAAATAAATTTTAACAATAACAAACATCAACATTACTACTCTCTTTTAACTCTATTGTTGTTTAATTACAGGGCTTTGTCCTTCTGGCTGTTTTCCGGTGTTTTGTCTATATCCAAATTAACATTTCTTTTCCGGTTTTTATTTTTATATGAGAGCATCTACAACGTATAAGTAAGTAAAATAGCGCTATGTATAAATAACAACGAAATCACTGCATGTAAATCAGTGTTCAAAGAGTCTTGTTACACTGGAAGAGGTGGAAATACTAGTAAGAAACTACTTCCTTTTGCATTCTAATATATGCTAGGATAGACTGAAAAGTGTCTGAAAGATGCATCGTTATTGATAATGAATCGTCATTTTACTATGCCATCATTTTACTCTTTTAGTAACGCAAATAAACTGTAGCGAAGATTTTTACTTTAGTATTTTATATAAAAAAAGAAATTAGATATCCAGTCCTTATAATTTTGACACAAAAGATTCTCATTATAAATAGCGCTTTTAAATGAAATGTTTTCTAATCATGGTGGTTAACGATTTCTGTTCTTCTTAAGAGTGAAAAAATATAGTTCATTGGTTAGTATATCTAAATCATAATCAAAGTATTTTTCAATTGTTGAATGGATGTTTTATGTTTATGCTTAATGAGTATTGAAAAAGAGAAAGCTTTCTAATATGACTGAGCAATGAGACTCGCTGGAAAAACACGAGATTGGGTTATTCCACTTTAAGTGCAAGTTAATTTAGTTAATCATCTAGCAATGCATTTGTTTGCCTATGTTATATAACCACAAAACATGGGTAATTTTAATATCGTCAAGACGGGAACTGAAGTTCTTGAGTTACACATATACAGTATGTAGGAAGTTTGCTTTTCAAAATTAATTAAATGTATAAAAATTTACATATATTAACAATATTATAAAAAAAACTGTTCATGCAGTTATTCTTTATTTGAATTCTTATTGAAAAACATTTTGAGAATTCTTAATGTTTTGTAATTACACTAACAGACTTAACTGACAAAGTTATTATTATTATTATTATTATTATCATAATAATTATTTTCAATTTTAAGTTATCTTTAAACCTTTGAGAATGCAATCCAACTAGAGTCGAGACAAGAGTGAACAAGCCGGGACAAGTGGGGTACTTGCTTCAGGTGAACAGTTAGAAGGGCACAAAATTAGCTACAAAATTTGAAATATATATGTATGAAAAAAGGGGGGGAAGGGAATTATGACTCTGAACCTTCAACTTTGCAGCATCTTAAGAAGTATCAAAAGAATTATGTGTTACACAGAGCTAAGAGAAGTAACAATATTAATTTATTCTAAAAAAGTGCTGGAGTTTCACAGTGCTAAATGTTTTCTATTCCAAAAATTTATTTTTAGACCTAAGGTATTTAAGTTAATTTACGTCTGTTTATACTAACCTATTGAGCTTCATAAATTAAATTAGCCCAAAAAGTACCATGCTATCGACATTAACAGTTCTGTATTACCTCCGTTTTAGTTTGAACAAGATTATTCCTCTTATTTTGCAATAATTAGTTTTCAAAAGTTCGCTAACCGAGTATGGAGTGCGCAGCAAAAGCTTAAAAATTTATTGCAGCAGACTTAACGCATAAAATTCAAATGAAATATTATCGGAAAGCTAAGCAAGCATGGTTTCGTTTAGGGTTATTTCTGGAGCAATTATGCATATTGATGGACTGATTAAACGAATCGTTACATTACTCTGTCTCATTCTTTGTCAAGACTGGCATTTAAACATATTAAGTAGGGCATGATTTCTCTCTTTGTCTCTCTCTCTCTCTTACTTTCTTTTTTTTTCAATTGTTTATAATAAAAGAATATTTTTTTAATACCAGAAAACTGAAGTATAAGCATTTGTATGTTCTTTGGTTTTTGTATACTGAGTTTAAATGTTGAATTTTGCATTAGTAAGTTCATGTTGACAAAGTCGTCACTTATCAATCACAACAGTATAATATAAGCATTATGTATGATATATCTTCTTTATGTTTTGAATTGTAAATATCATATGTAACTTGCTAAAATTACTTGCTAGGATTGTAATCTTATGTGTCACTTGCTAAAGTTTTGTTCATAACTCATAAGTACTGTGTTCACACAGATGTAACCATTTTTAATATCTATGTTTTGTAACACTAATCAATGTGCCCTATGAGTGGATCTCGTATGTCCCTAACATGAGTCAGCTTTAGATAAGGGTGGACGTGACGCTAAACCAATTAACCTTAATGGTAAAGGGGTGGTGCCCACGTCCTCCGTCACTAAACTAAACTAATACCAGAAAACAAAACAAAAAAAAAAAAAAAAAAAAAAAAAAAAAAAAAAAAACATATTTTGAATTTTTTCGAAGAAGATTTAAAACGAACCGTTTTGGCTAATTCTGACATAACCGATATTTATTTAGAAGAACATACTGTAAGAAGTTTCATTTCGTTCTGTTAATGCTAATGTAATCGATATAGAAATATTTAAATTTTAAATGTTTCTCTTTCAAAATGCGCATTTCGGAAAAACTGAAAAAGAAATAAATGATCGCGATGGCGCTATATATTTAAAGATTTAAGTATGTTGAAATTAAACATCAAAAGCAGTTAGACCAGTTAGTTTGTTTGTTGCTGCGAATAAAAATTCGTGGGGGCTGGGTAAAGGTTAAGCATTATTAAATCTTACTATTTTTAAAATCATGCTTATATTGCAGAGACATGATAAGAACGATAATAAAACTATATTATCTGACAGCCATTCTAATGCATATTTAAATTAGATTTAGTTGATGTATATTTTCACGGTTTTAAATCACAATTTTAGCTAGCTTGTTTGAGTTTGGCGTCCTGCATAGGCTCAAATAAGACTTTCTTGCAATAAAAATTCATTTGACTGATGAATGGTGTGTGAATATTAAAATTTAATTCTTTGGTTAATGGTTAATCGATTAAAGTGAAGCATGCGGGGCTATTTGCTTTAGGAGTGATGCTTTCGTGAAGGATATTCTAAGGAAAGTGCTCGTATTCAAGTTATGCATGGGAAAAATCTTGAAGTTTCAGTCAGCCATCCTGTACTTCATTAGACCATACCAGGACAAGCTTCCAGAATTATCCACTCGAGCCACTTGTAGACGGGAACATTAACGGAAAACCAGAAACGTAGAATTATTATTTAGTAGTTGCTTAGAAAATTTTTTGTAGTCAGAAATATATGATAAATGAAAGTTGGAAGTTTTACTTTGTTTGTCTGTGATAAAGGTGAAGTAAAGTAAAATGAAAAACACTAACTTTCATGACACTTAACAGAATTCGAACGAACCAGCGATGGAAACATATTAGGACAATTTTAGGAAAACAAATCGGTTTCAGCATGGAAATCATGTTCAGTTAACATCCACGTTACGATCCACATCGAATTACCAGCGTCCGCACAGTGTTGCCATTCCTCGCTTTGAAATCGTTGAGTTGATTAAACAGAAATTCTTCAATGTCTGACAAAATATGAAATAGGTAATTAAACAAATTCCAGATTATGGCCTCCAGACACCCATATTCGGTGGAGGATTACTCGAAAGTTGATGGTTCTAGGTACCGTTGTTTTATCACCATGCGAGAAACATACATAATTTTATGCAGATTCTTTATTGTTTAATTTCTTTAAATATAATGCAGGGTTGTAATATTTGGTGGCAACAATGTGAAAGTGAACCGACTTTTATAGTGAATCAACGCAAAATGCCAAAACGAAATTAATAGCCCTTCTGGGCTAACGGCCTTTGGGCTAAAAAAAAAATCACTCATTATAAGATTTTGCATCAAATGATAAATTGTTATATTGGGATGGAAATAATAGTATATTTAAGCAAATCAGTTAAATTTGTTTTATATATGTTATCTGCGTGGAATTTAACACTTTAAGAAGCAGAATAAAACTTTGCGCTCAAAACCTCTGGCCGTATATAAAGCCACACTCTTAATAGAGGGTCAGGTAGACAGAATATCCCAGGAAATATTATTCAGAAATCTAAAAATTTAGTTTTTCAACTTAATTTGAACAAATGAAAAAGAAAGATTATTCAGAATCAATTGATAAGAAACGAATTTTTTGTAAAAATGTTTTCCCGGCTAAAATTAAAGAAATGTTAGATGTTTGAATATTACTATTAAAATGGAGATAAAAAAATTAATTAAATGTGTAATGATTTTCTTTTTATAAATGGTAAATAATTAACGTCATTCGATTTAAGTAGTTTAAAAGCAACCGCATATAACTTGGCACTTGAAAATCCGTATGCTTTATATGACGCAGACATTTTGTCAAAATTATCTAGTTTTAAAAACCATGTTATTGCAATATTCTGGACACTAAAGAAGCTGCAATTTTAGATCTTTTAAATATAATTCATGAATGTAGTGTATTTCAATCAAACTCGAATTTGGAAGCAGCATTAAGATTATTTTTAACATTGCCAGTTACTGTTATTAGTGGTGAAAGAAGCTTCAGCAAAATTAAACAATAAAAAATTATTTAAGATCTTCGTTTAGTCAAGAAATTTTTCAAACATGGCTATTCTCTCTCAGAGTATGAATTAAGTGATCAAGTAGATTTCGAAAACTACTGATAATTTTAATCTTCGTTAAAAAAATTAGATTACAGAATGAGCTTGAAAAATTAGTGTGATACTTTTAACATTAGTTTGATTACTATTCACATTATTTCCATGTTATCAAAA